TATACAGAGATAGGTTAACACAAAGAAATAATTTCAACGTAAATAATATGTACTGATGACACAATCTATTTATAAAATTAATATTTGTATAGATCACTTAATACATTGAGCTATTATGTACTACGTACTAGAGGCGACACTGTATTCAGCTACTCTGTTCCACTCAACTGCGGTGCATACACCGCACTTTAATCAGTTATTCGCTAGGCGCTTGTAGAGTTGTCACGTGTTGTGTTGATTTAAAAAAAAATCTCTTGATAAAAATATGCCGTCGTGTGTACTTAGATATTGCACAAATAATTCAAGAAATATCGGAAAAAACCAAGGAATTACTTTTGATCGGCTAATAAGATACTTAATCAGTAATAACGTAGGTATTATGTATTAATAATAAAACAAATTATTCCTAAGACGCTATCTCATGTCATGGAATATAGATTAGGAAATTAATAAGTTCAGATGCGAAATTTCTGTGGGTAATTAAGTTTAGGACGAATAAATTACTTTACACATTTTTTTTGTAGAAACATATATAAATTATTATGATTAGGCAAAAATTTTCATATATAAATCTGTTTATTATTCTTTTATTTTATTTTTAGGTTTCCACATCAAAGTCAAAGTGGTATAAATTCGTCCATTTCAGCTCTCACATGCCCAGCATTTATGAACGACTTTTATTCCAATTTAAATAAATATATATGTAATTTAAATGTTATGTTATTAAGTTTTGTTAAACATACATATAAACATACAAGAAAAGCCGATAGTGCTGCGCCTGGCCTCTCACCGGTCTTGTTGGCTTGCCGTCTCATTAAACTATTATAGTGAGGTATTTTAACGAACAATATTTTTCATAATAAATGCCACATTAACATGGGACTTTATATTTTTTTATAGAACAAAGGTGACAAACAAGCACACAGTCCAACTGATGGTAAGTGAATTCTGTGGCCCATAGACATGTACATATATCCTCGGTTATGAATCAAAATGCAGATTTCTTGTCAAACCTGAGGAGTAAGATTAAATGTATCGTTTCCAGTACAAAGGGTCTCCGGTTTTCTAAACTCACCATATAAAACACAGCAGTATTTAAGTTGCTATTTTACGCTGGTATTCTGTAAGAGCGTGGTCCTACTCCGGTCGAGCCGACCCATTCGTGCTACAACTATAATGTAACTGCAGCGTGGCTATACCACGCATAGCATTTATATTTATATCATTATCTTAAAGCATGTTCATAGATTCTTGAAGTATCTATTTTTATCTATCATTGAAGTAGAGGAATGACCTTTAAGTCATTCGAAAGTTACTGTGCTCAAAATTAAACTTATATGTGTATGTTGCCAGGTAAATAAAGTAAACTTTTATATATGATTTCTCTATACAATACGAATTAACCAATTAAATAAAAGCATTTTTTTCACGGTCATGGCTGTTTAAGCTAAAATACCTTTGTCTTTCCTACACGGAAAAATTTAAGGTTCAAAAACCATGCAAACAAATTTTTTATAGTTTTATTTTCAGACAATTGGTCGAATTTCGACTCGGTTTATATACTTAATTATTAACTCTTCTATATCATCCCGTGGGTATTGTAAGAGGTGACAGAAGGAAATAAATGAGGAGATCGGTAATAACGTCTTCCTAATAACGACAAAATAAAAAACCGGTTGCTAACCCGCTTGCCAACCGTGGCAACTCTGGCAAGTATAGCATAAGCATAAGCACCTGCCTGAACAGCTGAATAAAATTTTTTTAAATATAAGAAAAAAAAAAATATAAAAAATTTTTCCGTTTTTTTTTTTTAGGGCTTGTAACATAGATAAAATGTGGCTGAATTGGTTTAACAATAATAATTACTTTAATAATCTATTTAAATATGTTAGATATCAATGCACCATTCTCGGAATATTCTATCGTAATTTGCATTTGGTTCTTATCAAATTACTATCAGAAGGTGTTACGAGCATTATATGAGTACAATATTTGTAATGGAATTTAGTAGTGAGGTTTGCATCATGATTTAGAGTAGCATTTATGTACACCTAAATTATTATTAACAAAATAAATCAAAATTGTCACAAGGTGAATAATATTTAATCGCAATTTTATTTGATATAAAATTTTTATAGAATATATTTTTCTAAAAAAAATTCAATAATTATAACCCGATCGGTAACAGCAATTTATATGCGTTTTATGTAAAAATAAAAACATAGAGGTATATATACTTAGTTTTAATATTATTATATATTTTTTATACGTAAAAGAGAAAAGATACAGTCTTTACGAGTATATATCACATTGCTGGGCACAGGCCTGTTCTCATTTCTGAGAGGGTATAACACGCATTATTAAAAAATATTGACTATGTTTCGAAAAATATATCATCGATATTACGTAAAACTAATACAGTTTCTTAAAGTATATTTTAGATACAAAACTTACAACACAACAGTAATGAAAAACCCGTGCACACCGCTGTAAGACGCTTAAAGGCTTTTTTTTATTAAATTAAAGTGACAAACGACCTTACAGTCTAGTCTAACTAATGGTAAGCGGCTGCAGCGGCTTATGGACACCCACAGCCAAACTCTGTGGACCTTTAGAGAATGCCTCACAGCCTGGAACCATACTGGTTCTTTATAACTATAAAAATAAATTAACAAAAGAAGAAGGAAAAAATGTATATTAGTAGTATAGTTGTGGCATGAATGGGTTGGCTCGACCAGGGAAGGACCACGCTCTCACAGAATACCAGCATAAAATAGCAGCTTTACGCTACTGTGATTCGAATGGTGATTGTAGAAAACCGGAGACCCTTTTTTACTAGAAAGGAGGCATTCCATCTCAGTCGTAATCGAGTATAGACTGATGTAGATGTCTACGGGCCACAGCAACCTCTTACCATCAGGTGGACTGTGTGCTCGTTTGTTACCTTCTCCTATAAAAAATGTGTCACAATGGGCGACCTTATCGCTAAAAGCGATTTGTTTCAGATTTCTAGTTAGAGACGGAGTCCTCCTGTAAGACGCTGTTTCTTTCTTCTTCACCAGCTCGTAAAGCTACTGCTGATGTGCCGCTCTTGCTTGGCTGGTGGATTGGATCGCAATATTAAAAGTCTATCAACTTTGACTCTGCCCTCTGGATGTCATGTCTGAGTATTTTGCATCCGACCTTAACACGGTGGTAGTTACACCGTCACGTACCTAATGGAACATGGCCGGAAAGATTTACGATGTTTACACCATCTACGGGATCTATGGTGTAACCACCATAGAACTTTCCGCCTTTCAATAACAACCTTTTTTACAACTCAAAAAACAAATTCAACAAGTATTCTAAAAATTAAAATATTCGTGGTCTTCTTCTCATCAGGCCATAGAAGTCCACTGCTAGCCATGGGCTTCTACCGACATGGCGAGCATTGTCACTACTATGCAAGCGAGAAGACCATCTCGCATTAGGACCTTTGACGCTGTTCCCGGTCTGAGTATTTTACTATCTAAACCAAAAGATTTTACTGGTATATCCTATAAGGATACATTTTACGATAGCCATGGGAAATGGGTTGACGGATTCTCTTGAGCCGCCACCTAGCGGCTTAGGAGTAAATGAAGATATCAATGTCATGAATAAATATTTATTTTTTTAATATTTTTTTAATTATAATATAAAATAACATTTACTTTGGCAAGCTATAAGTAATAAAATATCACTTAAATTTCAATTCCTACATAATGAAACCATTGATCACAAGTGTATCTTATGTTCAGTCAACCATCTTATACTTTAGATGCGTAACATACGGACAAAACGCAATGAACCATCAAAGGTCACTAAAAATAAGGCGAAGTAGTTCCAACACGGCAAGTTCTCGTATGTCGCATCCCGATAATTTAATCACCAAACAAGATGACATTAATGCGTAGCCTTTTAGTCGTATTATGATGACGCTTATAACGTGAAATATTTTAACAGACCTAAATCAGCCCTTGCAATCCGATTGAAACAAATTTACTTCCTTTTTTATTTTATTCTTTGTCACTTCGTTGCTTACAGTTATTGCTCGTAAAACCAGCTAATTTAGGCCCATGTTAATGGTGCGTAGTGATATTTTCACAAAAGAAAACAAAGATAAGTTTATAAATCACGGTTAATATGATGATATTATATATGATGATCCTGGCTGTTCCTCTTCACCCGATATGATCTGGGAATTCAACTAAACTTGATTGCAAACTATAGTAATTTGGCTAAGCTCTCTTTAGGGATTAAATTGAATATCGGCAGTTTACTAAATGACAAGCAGTCCAAATTAACGGCTGTTTAGGCCGTCGTATTGTGACATATACACACGGCACGCCTAATATTTCGAGGCAGTCGATGTGCTAGCAGATATATTTTGTTTGCAAAGCCACATGGTCCCTGTAACATGGACATGCCAAGATCATGCACGATGAACGATAAAAAACGGCAAAGATAAACTTGGCGTATTTCAATAATTATTATAAATTATTTAAAATTGAGGTACGTCAAGACTAACTCGTTGTCATTTTATATTATGCATCGTGCATCTTGACGTCAGATACAGCAAAATGTACTGTGTGTAAGGCATTTTGGTCTTGACACGATGTTTATTATCTAAGTACTTTCCTCTCCTTGTCGAATGCTCCTGCCAAAGTGACGTTACGAATAGTAAAGATCATTTACAAACGTTCAACGTTCTGTTGTTTTTTGATATCAAGATTCTTATTGCAGTCCATAAAGCTATTGTGAAAGATCCAACTACTGAACGTCGCAAGTCCACAGTCCCTTGAAATGTGTTTGTAAAACAGTCGAAAGTATAAGCAGACTCGATCTGAGACCCGTTTCTAAATATTCGCCAGCGTTCCGAAAGTTAAAGACATTGTACTAAACCATAAAGTGATGCACATTGAGCAATAAATAATCAGTCTTTTTAATATTTGCTAGTTTTGTTTATGATGATTATCTCAACATGGATCCCCCGTTATTGTTTCGTACCTGAAAGAAATAAAAATATAGAGGTTATTTCAATAATTATACAATATTGCATGGTATTGCCGTGAACCGGCGGTGTAAGAGTAAAGGAAAACAAAGCAGGAGATGGACAGCAGCGTCTTCCTAATGAGGACTAAAAATAACAAAACTGCGGTTGCCAACCGCTTGCCAAGCGTGCTAACTATGGCAAATATCCCAACTATGAAGAAATCTATGGGAGAGGTCTAGATTTAGCAGTAGACTTTAATAAACTGTTACGGTAACGGTAACATTTTTATACGTGATAGAGCCATGCTGCAGCTATATTATTGTTGTAGCACGAATGGGTCGGCTCGACCGGGGAAGGAACACGCTATCACAAAATACCAGCGTAAAATAGCAGTTCTATGCCGCTGTGTTTTGTATGTTGAGTAAAGAGAACAAGGCAATCCATCTTAGTCCTGAGGGGTAATACAGAGAACGAGGCATTCCATCTTAGTCCTCAGGAGTGACAACGCATCCGCATTTTGAGTCCTAATCGAGAATAAATGTAGATGTCTATGGGCCATAACATCCACTTAACATCAGGTGGACTGTGTGCTCGTTTGCCAGCCTTATACTATTAAAAAAGAGATGTGGCAAGGTCAGGACCGTATTTGTAGCAGTCTGTGGGGAGTAGTAAAGTTTATATATTATAGCAGTGGATTTGTGATGAGTTTCAGTGATAGTAAAGGAATCTAGTAAGAGTTCTTTTGTATTTTTTTGTTCAGGGTATGTTTACACCCTCTACTTATTTACTTTGTTCAAGTGTAAAGGGTATAGAGAGCCAGCCATAATTAATCTGTGCATCCCGTCTTAGTATACAGAGGTAATGAAGCGTGTTTATGGGCTGCGCGAACCACTTACCATCAGACGGATTGTAGTTCGTTTGACACTTCAAATTTAGGGTTGGGTTTGAAAGTAAGTCACCTGAATTTGAGCATTATGTCATTGTGAGGTCAAGTGAGTTTATCTGAAGCACCCCGATGCGATTGTTGCCGCCGGAGCAGCGTCGAAGCATTTTAATATTTTTTTTAAAATATTAGTAAATCACTAACTAAATGTGAAATGAATGGAACACACGTTTTAATAAATTCTAACGTTTTTGACGTTGCATCTGTCAAAGTCATCTCAAAATGCATAAAATGAATCGCAAGACCGGCCATTTTGTTGACAGTGACAGATATATTTTAACGTTATTCCGTTGCTTCCGAGTTTACGTGAATGTGCTTCCTCCCATATTTATCTGCCTCCACCGGTTTTTCGACGACTTCGCCACCCCTCTAGATCCTTTTTTACAAATGATGGTAGCTATAAATTATGTTTATATTTTAAAATAATTATAAAGTCAATACTTTGGTGTTTTATTGTGTGTAAGAAGCGAGCGAAGCGAACTCGGGACTCGGGCACCCCGACTTGGAGAGGTTAGGTTAGAAAGGGACGGACGGCGGGGAAGGAAGTTAACGAGCGAACCGAGCGAATAGACCCGCCATCCTATTCGTAGTTATTTTTTTTGTAAACTACTCAAAATTAGGACCCCCCCCAGGCGGGGCTCCGTTGACCGGGCTTCCCTAGAACTGCGACACATTGAATGGCGTGGAGCTACCCTCCCCTAACTCTCTCCCCCTATTAATCAGGTTTATATTGTCAAAAACATTACGAAAACATAACCTCAAAAGGAGATTCTTAAAAATTTATAAAAAAAATTAAACACTGGCACTGGCCCGGCAAGGGTGAAAGTGGGGGTTGACTCTACAACTACCCCCTCCTCCTAACCACCGCCCACCAGCCCGCAATTCAGGGGACTTACTTTCAAACCTTACCCCAAATTTATAAAAGAAGGGTGTGTACAGCGATAAGTGCTATCACTTACGAATATTATTACAACTGGTAGAAAATACTGCCGTAAAATAGCAGCATAATACTGCCGTTTTGTATGGCGAGTGAAAATAATCGTCTACCCTTATTACATCAAGCGCACTCAAGTAAACTGCTAGCTCATGTGCCACTCAAGTATTTTAAAAACGCATTTTTTCCGACTATTAGCTAATCTGTGGTATTTCTTTAAACGTGACGCTAGTAAAACAGTTTTTATGGATACGATAATCTGTAAGGTCATTATTTTTTATTTTTTATTATGACCAGACAGCGTTCTTTGCAAATTGCATCGCAAAACATTCGCAGCGCCGCAATACTGTTTTTTATTTTATTTTTTATTTTGTTTTTATTATTCACAAAATCCACAGCTTGTAACAATCTATTTACACACAAATCTTATAAAATAGGTCTTGAAGCCAATTACGGATTTACAATATACGTATTTAGCTTAAAAGAACGTCACAGAGTATTCACCACCTTACTTAAAAATAGATGTATGAAAAATAAACATATTTAAAGGTAAACAAAGCGCACGAAATTTATTTAAATGCAGAATATTGTGTATGTTTGCACACGTATGTGAAAGTGAGTCAAAAGTGTGCGTGTGTGTGTGTGTGTGTGTGTGTGTGTGTGTGTGTGTGTGTGTGTGTGTGTGTGTGTGTCTGTGTGTGGGCGTGTGTGTGTGTGATCGATACAATTTTTAATGAAATAACGATATTTTAACATAAATAAATATACGTTATAAATATAGACATGATGTATGTAAATTATAGCGTATATATATGTATCCAATTAATACCTGCTACAAAAACTTTCTTGTATTTATAATGTTATTGCTATTTGCTATTTAAATTTATAGATTAGTTTATAATTTGACATATTTTTGCAAATCACCTTGGCAACTTCACGTTTGAATGAAGGTTTACTAGAGTGAAAGATATCAATTGTATTAAATGTTTTATTATAAATTCTGTGAAGCCTATTGACAATCGAATTTTGAGCATAGTTAGTTCTTTTAAGGGCAGTAGCAAAAAGTGTCGTATGTCTAGTTCGTTTATTTGGAACACAAAAACTTAAAATTTGTAACGCTAATTCACAACAGTCTATGTAGTTATTACATATGCCGTGTAAGAAGGACATATCCATTAAGGTTCGTCTACTTTGAAGAGGCATGAAATTATAGCAGAGACTAGATTCGCTATCATCTGAAAAGTGACGAGAAAAACGAAAATGTAGGTGCTTTAAAAATTTTAACTGAATATTCTCTAGCTTTTGAATATACGTCACATATTGAGGATTCCATATTATACTATTATACTCCAGAATACTTCTGACATATGCAAAGTATAGTACTCGTAAACATCCAATGTCTGAAAAGGGCTTACTGACTCGTAAAACAAAACCTAAATTTTTGTATGCTTTCGCGACTATTGTATCGATATGTTCGGAAAATGTTAATTTTGAATCCATTTTTACCCCTAGATCAAGCACACTATTAACCTCCGATAAAGTAAAATTATTTATTTTATAATTGTATTTAATTGGATTAATTTTTCTAGTGAATGATACAAAACAACATTTCTTTAAATTAATACCAATACGATTTTCAATATAATAAGAGTTTAATCTATCTAGATCGGCTTGAAGGTTACTGCAATCAGTAATCCCATTAATTTTCATAAAGATTTTTGTATCATCAGCATACATTAAAAATTTTGCATGCTTAAAGCATCTACGAACATCATATAAGTACGTGGCATATAACAAAGGTCCCGGGATGGAACCCTGCGGTACGCCAGATGGTACCTCCAAAAAGTCGGAGCGTTTTACAATTATTTAATGTTGTGAATATTACGTATTTAAGAAATATTCTAAATTAATGTCAAACTAAAATTAAAAATGTTCAGTTATTACATTCACAATATTTCTTGTGACTAATACTCGTTTTTTATCAAAGATAATACAAGAGAATTATTTCCTTGTAAACGAAATGTGAATAGGAGCTTAATTGATAAGACGATAGCATTTCTTACCAATTAGCACCTAAAGTACTCACGCCCGTTAAGTAATATTTGCGTTCAAAAGCAAGCGATCAATGATAACTAGATATAGTGATCATTTTCTATTGGACATTTATAAAGGTATGAATGAGTACACACTTTACCTGATGATTAATGGATACTGTCACCCATAGATTAAATAAATCTCTTATTAATTTTATTATTTGCATATATTTTATATCTATATATTTTTGTGTGTGTATTTATATGTATGTGGTGGCGCTGTCGTCGCGCCACAAGCGAAATACATTGAAGCCTAAATCGCGCTATCAAAGTTGCGAACCAAACACAGTATATATAGAATAGCTCCCTTGCCCACCGGGAGATCTCCCCTTTACCTTTCACGGCCACATCTACATATGTCTAGTTCTTTGTCGCGCTTTGTATCCTATGTATGATGACGGATTGGTGGATTTTAATGAATGGTGAATCTCCTAAGTTGTGAAAATGATAGGTAGGGCACAAGTTAAGATATAGATATAAAATTTCCAAAATATCGTATATTCGTTGCAAAAATATTTGAATTTTTGTCGTTTCATTAGACTTTTTCAATTGGGATTTTTAACTACTGTGCTTGAGTGTAACTTTGAGTTTTTTTATTAAACTGAAGTGACAAACACACTTTCATTCCACCTGATAGTAAGTACCTACTGCAGTCTATGAACACCTTCATTTAACAAAGAAGCTTACAGATGCGTTATCACGTCTGAGGCAAAGACGGAATGCGTATCATACGTGGTAGAGCCATGCTGTAGTAGCATAGTTGTAGCACGAATGGGTCGGCTCGACCGGGGAAGGACCACGCTCTCACAGTATACCAGCGTAAAATAGCAGTTTATTGCTGCCATGTTTTGTATGGTGGAGACGCTATTTACTGTAAACGAGGCATTCCATCTTAGTCCTCACGGGTGACAACGCATCTGATTGAGACAAAAATTTAAGGAAATTAATATATTAACTCTGGTCTCTCAATACATTTATGAAAATGTAATGTACGTACACAAAAATAAAAGTAATTTTGTAAAAATAGAAGTGATATTCATTCTG